GGCTGAGGGCTCCTTGGTCAGAGGGCTGAGGGCTCCTTGGTGAGAGGGCTGAGGGCTCCTTGGTGAGAGGGCTGAGGGCTCCTTGGTGAGAGGGCTGCTCCTTGGTGAGAGGGCTGAGGCTCCTTGGTGAGAGGGCTGAGGGCTCCTTGGTGAGAGGGCTGAGGGCTCCTTGGTGAGAGGGCTCCTTGGTGAGAGGGCTGAGGGCTCCTTGGTGAGAGGGCTGAGGGCTCCTTGGTGAGAGGGCTGAGGGCTCCTTGGTGAGAGGGCTGAGGACTCCTTGGTGAGAGGGCTGAGGGCTCCTTGGTGAGAGGGCTGAGGGCTCTTTGGTGAGAGGGCTGAGGGCTCCTTGGTGAGAGGGCTGAAGAAGCTCTCCTTGGTGGGAGGGCTGAGGGCTCCTTGGTGAGAGGGCTGAGGGCTCCTTGTGAGAGGGCTAAGGGCTCCTTGGTGAGAGGGCTGAGGACTCCTTGGTGAGAGGGCTGAGGGCTCCTTGGTGAGAGGGCTGAGGGCTCCTTGGTCAGAGGGCTGAAGAATCCTTGGTGAGAGGGCCGAGAGTTCATGGGTAACGGGTGCGTCTGAAGAGAGGGCCGAGGATTCCTTGGATGTGTGGGTGCGTCTCGAAGGGAGAACTGAGGGCGTCGTGGGCTGCGGGCGCATCTGAAGAGGTCGAGCCTTCCTAAAGTTATACTGTAGATGCGTCCGAAGGGCCGAGGGCTCCTCGGGTTGCTTCACGAGCAGGAAGGGGACATAATTTCTCCCCTTCCGGTTTCTGTTCCTGCTTCTGCTCTTTTCTTGTTCCTCACTCATTCTCACTTCCTCCGCCTCACTTCTCTTCGCTTCTTTTGCTCTTCAACTCTCCTTCCTCCTCCCCCTCGTCCGCCTCCCCCCTCTCCTCCTCGTCGCCTGCCGTCTTCCCGGTTCTTCTTTTCACTTCATCCTCCTCGTCTCATGTCCCCTTCTCTCTGCAAAGATTTTCTTAATGATCTCTTCATTCTTTTTCTTTCCTCCTTCTCGTCCTCCTTTCCCTTAGCACTATCATTGCCTCCTTTTCCTCCACATCATCCTCACATTCATCACCGTCGTCTTAATCATCACAGTCATAATTATCATCAACGTAACATTATCATCATCATAATCATCGTCTTTAACATTATCACCACCATCGTCACCGTCATCAGCCGCACTAACATTATCATCATCATCATAACCATCATCATCACATCATCAAAACCACCATCATTACCATCATCATCATGATCGTGATCACCACCACCACCACCTCCACCACCACCTCTCCTCTTTCCTTCCACATCACCGCCAACGCCCCCCCCCCCCGCCACCCCCCGCCCACCCGCCCGTTTCCTCCCATGTGAGTTACCGTTGAGAGTTACCACGGTCGAGTGAGGGATCCGGGGGGGGGAGGGGGAGGGGGTGTTGTGATAACGGTGCCTTCGCGAGAGTTTTCCTTTCGAGTACGAGCGCCAGCAGGTGTGTGTGTGTGTGTGTGTGTGTGTGTGTGTGTGTGTGTGTGTGTGTGTGTGTGCGTGTGTGTGTGTTTGTTTGACTGTGGTGTGGATATGTGTGTGTGTGTGTGTGCCTGTGTGTATGCATGTGTGTGTGTGTGCGTATGTGTGTGTGTGTTTGTTTGACTGTGGGTGTGGATATGTGTGTGTGTGAGTGAGTGTGCGTATGTGTGTGTGTGTTTGTTTGACTGTGGTGTGGATATGTGTGTGTGTGTGTGAGTGTGCGTATGTGTGTGTGTGTGTGTTTGTTTGACTGTGGGTGTGGATATGTGTGTGTGTGTGTGTGTGTGTGCGTATGTGTGTGTGTGTGTTTGTTTGACTGTGGGTGTGGATATGTGTGTGTGTGTGTGAGTGTGCGTATGTGTGTGTGTGTGTTTGTTTGACTGTGGGTGTGGATATGTGTGTGTGTGTGAGTGTGCGTATGTGTGTGTGTGTGTTTGTTTGACTGTGGGTGTGGATATGTGTGTGTGTGTGTGAGTGTGCGTATGTGTGTGTGTGTTTGTACTGTGGTGTGGATATGTGTGTGTGTGTGTGTGTGTGGTGTGTGTATGTGTGCGTGTGTGTTTGTTTGACTATGGGTGTGGATATGTGTGTGTGTGCGTGCATGTGTGTATGAGTCTTGTCTATGCTTGTGTTTGTCTGAGTTTGTGTTTATGTGTATTTGTGTGTGTATGTGTGTGTGTGTGTGTGTGTGTGTGTGTGTGTGTGCGTGTGTGTGTGCGTGTGTGTGCGTGTGCGTGGTGTGTGTGTGTGTGTGTGTGTGTGTGTGTGTGTGTGTGTGTGTGTGTGTGTGTGTGTGTGTGTGTGTGTGTGTTGTGTGTGTGTGTGTGTGTGTGTGTATGTGTGTGTGTGTGTGTGTGTGTGTGTGTGTGTGTGTGTGCGTGTGTGTGTGTGTGTGTGTGTGTGTGTGTGTGTGTGTGTGTGTGTGTGTGTGTGTGTGGTGTGTGTGTGTGTGTGTGTGTGTGTGTGTGTGTGTGTGTGTGTGTGTGTGTGTGTGTGTGCGTGTGTGTGTGCGTGTGTGTGTGTGTGTGTGTGTGTGTGTGTGTGTGTGTGTGTGTGTGTGTGTGTGTGTGTGTGTGTGTGTGCGTGTGTGTGTGTGTGTGTGTGTGTGTGTGTGTGTGTGTGTGTGTGTGTGTGTGTGTGTGTGTGTGTGTGTGTGTGTGTGTGTGTGTGTGTGTGTGTGTGTGTGTGTGTGTGTGTGTGTGTGTGTGTTCAGGATAGAAAATAGTTCTGCTGTATATCTGACTGTCATAGAAAGCGAGAGGTTGGTCGTACGACAGAAAACGGTTATTGAAGGTAGTATTTTGTCAGCGGATACTCCTCTAATTTAGAGAAGAGTGGCTTATCGTTGAAGATTGCTGTATACTTTAGTGGGACTCTTTTCGGAAGGTAGATCTCCCACGAAAGCCTCGCGAAGTGAAGTTTTGTTCACTTAAATTGGGTCTGCAGCACGTTTCTGAGCATCCTTCCCACCATGCATCTTTTGATTTACACACACACAAACATAGTCAAACAAATACAAAACACTAGTCGCTCCTAATACAGAAAACGAAAATGCATATTCCATCTTCTTCATGAGGCGGACAAAATAACTATCAGATGGTGAGCATGACAGTTAACGGAAGTCATAAAGAGAGACAAGCGCCTAAAACGCCCACGCGCCCCCTCGATCGATCAGCCGACGATAGATGACTTCCCCTCTCAGCTGTGGCTTCAAGTTTTCAAAGAAATAAACGAAATCGTAGTAATTAGCAAAACATATTAGTAGGAAGCTTATCAAAGTCTGAACCTTTTGCTAATGGAACTAGGAAAGTCTGAGTGGCCATTCTCCACCAACATTCCAGCTGTACGTGACTCTCATGGACGAAGATCTCAAGCCTCCCGTTGTAGCCAATACTATACATCCAATACAAATAACATATAAATTAACAAAAATAAGATCAATAAATTTTGAAAAGAATTGTGTGACGCAAACCACACTGCCCTCGTCACTTTTGGGTTTTCTGCGGTAAAACTAATCGTTTAGCAACGTTGTGAAGTTTACGAGCATTTTGTGAACTTGTAATATATGTAGAAGGGAGATGTGTTTTCGGTCCCTCTCCTGCTCATGAGAAATCCCGTAAACTTGGCCAAAAAGCTGTGCAATATTAATCGGCACACAATATCCAAAATCCAAGAAAATATGTTTGACATCCTTATTAAGACCAAACCAGATTCCCTTTCCAGGAAATAAAAGGAAATGAAAATCAAAATCATAGGAAAGGAAAAAGAACCGGTTACTGCAAATTGGATGGATTTAAGAGCTAATATTTACACATAGAAGATGCGTGGATCTCTGGTCTGTTAAAAACGCAAATAAAAGGAAAAAAATATTGTCATGAAGTGGATGACAGTCATGGCGATGGGATTGTAGTAACATGAGACAGCGATAGATGCTGTATATATGCTTATATACAGACTCGTACACGTACAATAAGACCGACAGACTCACATACAATAATAGACAATCATGCTCATCGCTTACAACGCCTTTGGTGCACCATTCATTCTGAACTTGATTAAAAGGGTTGGGGATAAACCATGGAAAAAAAACTAATTTTCACATCCGTGCTTAAACGTGAATATGCTTCAGCTACTTTACAGCAAGCCAAACAGTGCGAGGAAACTTAATCACCGACATTCAACAAGAATTGGCAGCATGAGAGGAAATTTAAGTTGATTTTCCTTCAGCCAGCGTAGTTAGCAAGTCAATCAGTACGAACTGCGAAGTGCATCCGAATGCGTGCGCATCGGCCACCCTCGGGATATTATCACAGAGGGCGTTGGAGTCGCACTGTTAACGGTACACGCGCACCGCTGTCATTCACGGCCGCCGCTCGACCGCTGGAACTAACTAACCTGCCATGCCTCACGCCCATAACCTACCTAGGCTGTGTATGTGGCGACCCATATGTGCTCCCTAACCCATATTCCGCTGATACCACCATTAGTACTGGTGTTAGTATTCTTATGTTTACGTTTATGATTATTATTTGCATTATCATATATTAATATTATTATCTTTGTCATTATCAGTATTATAAAGATAATCATTACAGTTGATATTGCTGTTGTAACTATTAATACAAAAATATTATCATTACTATTACCTTCACTATCATTATCATCATTAATTACTATCATCATTAATATTTTCGGCTGTCGTTATAATTGTCATTCTTATTATCATCATTATCATCATAACTATTATCATTGTATCTAATATTGATATCATCAATATCAACACCATCATCGTTATCATTGTTACTAGTAGTAGTAGTAGTAGTAATATTATCATTATAAACATTTTTATCATAATCATCGTCATCATTATCATTATCATCATGGGTATTACTACTCTTATTATTGTGATAATTACTATTCGCTATCATTTATTACTATTACTATTATTATTACTATTATTTTTTATTATCATCATTA